AGCGGCTTAGGAACTTGGTAAGTTACTGAGGCTGGGTTTGAACTCATGATCCTCTTGCCTTAGTCTCCCCAGCCACTGGGATTACAGAAATGCACCACTGCACCAGGCTCTGAACATTTAATTTTTTTAAAAAAATTGTTTTGGTGTCAATAGACCTTTATTTTATTTATATGCAGTGTGAGAATCGAATCCAGTGCCTCACACATGCTAGGCAACTGCTCTACCACTTAGCCCCAGCCCCAGCCCTGAACATTCTTGCATTATATCACACATGAACTTTTGGGGGATACAATATACTACTGTAACACTTGCCTTCACCTCTCCACCTCTACCCATTCATTCTCAATACAATCTAGATTCTTCCTCTATCCTTCTGTAAATAGAATTTTAATTAGTCTCATCAGTAATATAATTGTGAATGGCAACCAATGGTTCTCTGTTTTTATTTAACTTGACACATGTACAATATTTTATACTCTTTGCAATTCCATTTTTCAGAATATCTTTCATCCCATGAAGTCTGCTTCCTGTTTTTCCATATATATTCTTTGCTCCTCTTTCTTTTTCAGGCATAACTTAGAAGTTGGTGCTCCTCTAGTTCCCTCTTTTCTCCCTGTGCACACTCCGCTCCCGTCAACAAACACCAAGTGTCTTAGCATCTGCAGTGCTGTGGCAGGTGTGCACCAGGCAGTTGCATTCACTCCTATCATTTCAAAAGCCACAGAATGTAAAAAATCTAACTTCACTACCTCTGTCCCAAATTCCTTCTTTTTTATTTTATTTTTTATTAAATTATTTACTTATTCTAATTTGATATATATGATGGCAGAATGCAATTCATTTCCTATTACACACATAGGACACAATTTTTCAAGTCACTGGTTGTATACCAAGGTATTTTCACACCATTTGTGCCTTAGGGTACTTAGGGTAATGATGTCTAACTCATTCACATTGTCTTTCCTTCCCCCATGCTCTCTCCCTTCCTTTCCCTCCCATTTGCCCTATCTGAAGTTCTTTCATTCCTCCCATGCTTCCCCCATTACCATTATGACACAGCATCCTTATATCAAAGAAAACATTTGGCCTTTGTTTTTTTTGGGGGGGGGGATTGGCTTACCTCAGTTAGCATTGTATTCTCCATCTCCATCCATTTACCTGCAAACGCTATGATTTTATTATCTTTTAATGCTAAGTAATATTCCATTGTATACACACCAAAGTTTCCCTATTCATTCATCTACTGAAGAGCATCTAGGTTGGTTCCACAGTTTAGCTATTGTGAATTGTGCTACTATAAACATTGATAGGGCTGTGTCCCTGTAGTATGCTGTTTTTAAGTCCTTTAGGTATAAACCGAGGAGTGGGATAGATTGGTCAAAAGGTGGTTCCATTCCAAGTTTTCCAAGTAATCTCCATACTGCTTTCCSYAKYGGYTGCACCAATTTGCAGTCCCACCAGCAAGGTATGAGTGTACCTTTCCCCCATATCCTTTCCAACACTTTACTGTTGTTTGTATTCTTAATAGCTGCCATTCTGACTGGAGTTAGATGAAATCTTAGAGTAGTTTTGATTTGCATTTCTCTAATTGCTAGAGATGATGAACATTTTTTCATATATTGGTTGATTGATTATATATCCTCTTCTGAGAAGTGTCTGTTCAGTTCCTTGGCCCATTTATTGATTGGGTTATTTATTTATTTTTTTAATGTTAAGGGTTTTGAATTATTTATGTATCTTAGAGATTAGTACTCTATCTGATGTGCTCCTGGTAAAGATTTGCTCCCATTCTATAGGTTCTCTATTCACCTCACTGATTGTTTCTTTTGCTGAGAAGAAGCTTTTTAGTTTGAATCCATCCTATTTACTGATTCTTGATTTTAATTCTTGCAGTATAAGAGTCTTGTTAAGGAAGTTGGGGCCTAATCTGAAATGATAAAGATTTGAGTCTACTTTTTCTTTCATTCAGTACAGTATCTCTGTTTAATTCCTAGGTCCTTGATCCACTTTGAGTTGAGTTTTGTGCATGGTAAGAGATAGAGGTTTAATTTCATTTTGTTACATGTGGATTTCCAGTTTTCCCAGCACCATTTATTGAAAAGCCTATCTTTCCTCCAATCTTTATTTGTTCATTGAAGAATGAAATACTCTACATATGTCTGTTAAGTCTTAGTTATTGTTGTATTTTTGAGTTCTATAATTTCTTTGTTCAGCTTTTGTTTGGAAGATCTATCCAGTGGTGAAAGATTGTGTTAAAGTCACACAGAATTATTGTGTTGTGAACTATTTAACTCTTGAACTTGAGAAGACTTTGTTTGATGAATGTAGATGTTTCATTTTGGGGGGCATGGATATTTATTATTGTTATGTCTTGTTGGTGTATGGTTCCTTTAAAAAGTGTAAAATTTCCTTTTTTTTTTTTTTTAGTCTCTTTTGATTAACTTTAGCTTAAAGTCTACTTTATTTGGTATGAGCCTGGAGCCCTCTGCTTGCTTCCACAGTCCATGTGAGTGACATTTTTCTAACCTTTCACCATCAGTCTGTGGATGTCTTTTCCTATGAGGTGAGTCTCTTGGAGGCAGCATATTGTTGGGTCTTTTTTTTTAAAAAAAGACTAGTCTATGTATTTTGATTGGAGAGTTTAGACCATTAACATTCAGGGTTATTATTGAGACATGATTTATATTTCCAGCCATTTTTTATTTTTTATTTTTATTTAACTTGACTTGGTTTCTCCTTTGATTACTTTTTCCTTTAGTGTAATACCTCCCTTTGTTGATTTTTCATTGTTTTTTTTTTTAATCTTCTCTTCATGGAACATTTTGCCAAGAACATTCTGTAATGCAGGCTATCTTGTTGCAAATTCTTTTAGCTTTTGTTTATCATGGAAGATTTTTATTTTGTCATCAAATCTGAAGCTTAATTTTGTTGGATATAAGATTCTTAGTTGGCATCCTTTTTCTTTTAGAGCTTGGTATATGTTGTTCCAGAATATCCTGGCTTTGAGGGTCTAGGTTAAAAAAAATCTGCTGAGATCTGAATTGGTCTTCCCTTTTATGTAATCTGATTTTTCTCTCTTGCAGCCTTTAAAATTCTATGCTTATTCTGTTTGCTATGCATTTTCATCATAATGTGTGGATCTGTTGTAATTTTGTACATTTGGTTTCCTATAGGCCTCTTGTATTTGATTTTCCAATTCATTCTTCATGCTTGGGAAATTTTCTTATACTATTTTATTGAAGATATTGTGTATTCCTTTGGTTTGAATTTCTGAACCTTTCTCTATCCCAATAAATCTTAAATTTGAACTTTTGATGTTATTCCCTTATTCTTGCATATTCTGATCATGGTTCTTACCACCTTCCCTGTGAGGTCAACTTTATTTTCAAGAATATATATTTTGTCTTCATTGTCTGAGATCCTGTCTTCCAAGTGATCTAGTCCATTGTTACAGCTTCTGACCTATTGTCTTTAGTGTCTCTACAGGTTACCAATACCTTCCCTTTAAGGGGGAGATCAATATTACAGCGCTCAATGTACCCAACATGCAGCCAAAGATCAGTTACCTTCTATTTTTACATTTACAGTTTTGTCGCTATAATCAGAAATGATGAGTTTGGTTATTTTCTACCTTATATTCAATAGGTTCGAGTACCGGTTTACAGTTTCTAATGGTAGAAAGGGATCTGGGGGTGTTGGCTGAGGTGTTTATGAGGTAGGATGTGAAAATTCAGAAGTATTGGATTATATGACAAGTTTGAGGGTAATCATAAGAAGAGTGAGGCAACCCCATGCCTGTTACCTCAGCAACAGGATAACTGTTAGAAACCCCAGTAGAGGTGCAGTCAGGCCCAAAGGCTAATTTTCTTACCACCACAATGCAGGTATCAAGTGCTTCCTGGTTTGGAGATTGCAGTTTCTTGGGGGTCACCTGTCTGTTTTTGGTTTAGTGACAAGTCCATGAGTAAGGCAGATGCCTGAGTCATCTTCTTTCCCCTGATCCTGGCCATGGTATATTGGCTCAGCAGCTGAAAAAAAGTAAACCTGGCAGTGGGTGGGTCACATGCATGCTGAGGGTAGGGCATTCAGACAGCTGTGATGGTCCTTACTTGCCCCACACAAACTTTTGTACTCAAGGAGTTGGGACTTTACATAGCAAATATCTAACCCCATGGCAGGTTAAGTAAGAGAGGTTATAAAAGAAAAGGGTTTATACTTCAGAAATTTTCATGACAAATTTTTTCCACATTTTTGAAAAAGAGTTATTTCACTGATTAATTCTTGTTTTTCATGGGGCCTTGCAAAGTATGCGACAGTCTTGCAAATAAGAAATAGGTAATATTTGAAATATTGAGCTAGGCTTTGTTGGGGCAGATGGATTTAGTGAAATCTCTTGGTTTTGAAAGTCAGAAGTGTTTCTAGAAAGTAGCAGAGCACAGTAAAAAAAAAATGTTTTACAAAAGAATTTGTTAATTATAGCCATCAACAGTAAGTTTCCATTCATGATTCACACCTTACACTGTAGGGATTTCTTGATGGGGGATTTAAGATCAGTAAACCTGATTGGCTCATTTCTTAAAACATCCTGGAGGTGGAAGCCTAATAAAGGGTAACTTCTCAAATATATAATTACATGTAATTACATTTGGAAGCAAGAGCTTCACAGGTATAAAGAACCAGGTATTTGAGTAGCAAAATTTCTTCAATTATTCACTTAATGTGATTCCTAGGCTGATGCAACTTATACTAGAATTGGGGTTAACCATAAAGTTTATACAGAAACAGAGAAATAACTGTATAATAAAAAATAGAATGGTTTTGTATTAATATTTATTTTAATTTTATTCATAATTAAAATGGAAAAATGATACACTCTGAGGCAAGATTTCCAGCAGTTGTTCAGATATGCAGTATGATTTTTTTTTTTAGTTTTCACAACTCAAAATTAATATTTCCTACCACAGAAGGGAAGAAATACCACAAGCATCAAATTGCAGAACATGACCAGCAACTTTTCCCAACCAGTTTTGCAGCTTTGCTATGAGAACCTGAATGGGTCCTGTATTAAAACTCCCTACTCGCCAGGGCCCCAGGTAATTCTCTATGCAGTGTTTGGCTTTGGGACTGTGCTGGCTGTGCTGGGAAACCTGCTAGTGATGACTTCCGTTCTCCACTTCAAGCAGCTGCACTCTCCAACCAATTTCCTCATCGCCTCTCTGGCCTGTGCTGACTTTTTGGTGGGAGTGACTGTGATGCCCTTCAGCATGGTCAGGTCCGTGGAGAGCTGCTGGTACTTTGGAGCCA